ATAGGAATGGAGCGCTTCTTCACACCGGGAGGGGAGGCACCATCTTCCCCAGACTCATTCAGAATGTCTCCTGAGCTAATAAGTCTGACCCTCCAAAATCAAATAGTAATAGATATAGTCAATAAAGGTACCAAATCTCTTTTTAGAAGGTACTCTGGGGAATCTGCCTTAGTGTGAAAGTCTGTGTACTTCAGGAGAATTCTTAAAATACGCACAATATTGAGCCACATTCACACTTTCCAAACTGCCCTTGGAGTACCAGAGGACTTACAACTTGCTATGTTTTCAAAAATCTGCCAAACTGAAAGCAAAAGCTGTATATTGGTTGCAGGTTTCTTTTTACTTTTCTTTCTTCATTGTCAACAAACACGTACACTACCAAAATGTTCGGGGAACTGCGTTAAGTGCTAAGAACACACACAAGCGTGACGTGGGCTTTGCCACACATGTACCAGCGATGTTCTTGAGAGGCAGGTTTACAAGGGTTCCAAGTCAAGGTCCCCGGCCATTAGTAAAGACACTAGGTCCTCATGAGGGGTCAGGAAAGGAAGTAATCCTGAAGTCCAGAACGGCTTCATAGATGAGACACAGACTCAAGCTGGCCTTAAAAGTCAGTAACAGAGTGAAGGATGACATTCTAGACAGAGAAAAATAAATTAAGACTGTGGACCTCTCCCTCCTGAAATTATATTAATAAAGCACCCTTCTCTGAAATGACTTGAAAGAAATAAAACAAACCAAATTTCGTGGGCATTTTGGGTCCTACAGAAAGAAAACTGATAACCAGTCATATAAAACCAGATAACTACTAAGAGTTATTGGCTATAGGTACAAGGTATGGGAATGATGTCAGGAATTCATTCACAAAAACCTTTTACTACTCCTGACAACCCCCAACAAAGGGGGAAATTACCTAAATGTTAAATATTACCAGATCCATGCTTCTATGAATGTTAAGACTGTCATAGTCCAGAGATTTTTCATCCAAAAACCTAAGGTGGATCCGGAAAATATCACTTTTTATTTATTTTTTAAAGATTTTATTTATTTGAGAGAGAGAGAATGAGAGATAGAGAGCATGAAAGGGAAGAGGGTCAGAGGGAGAAGCAGACTCCCTGCCGAGCAGGGAGCCCGATGCGGGACTCGACCCTGGGACTCCAGGATCATGACCTGAGCCGAAGGCAGTCGCTTAACCAACTGAGCCACCCAGGCGCCCCGGAAAATATCACTTTTTAGGCACAACACTGACACATTGAGTAACCCTCCCGAGGCTTGGTTTTTCCACAAGTACAATAACACTAACCCTCACGGGCTTTCACAAACAAAGGCTTCTTCCTAGAGCTTTCAGAATAAACCTTCCGGGCTATTTGGCCTGGGGAAGGCAGGTCTATACACTGAAGGGTCAGAGTGGAGGAGGTGGGAGGAGGTGATCAATCCCCACCAAAGATTTAAAAGCTAGATGCAAAAGAGAAAATATCACCCTAAGAACAGGAAAATCAAATTGCCAAGATTTATTTAACTTTTTCTTTTACAGAAAATACATGTATGTAATATAAACACTGACAAGGGAGATAAAGTACAGGGATCAGGAAGACAAATGAATTGGACAAGACTCTTGCTTCAACACTGCACTGCTTCCTGATTTCATGTGCAGCACGAATTACATGGTCATATATACTGGAAAAATGCAAGGCAACATTCATCTAGATTTACCAAAACACCAGAGGGCCTCTGAAATCCAACAATGCCATTCGGAAGCCTGATCTGTTGCCAAAGAACAAAGCTGAGCACACGTCCATCTATCCATTTACTCAAGGCATTTCATGTAGTAACTTAAGAATGAATTAACACATGAGCTTTAATGGGCCGTGGAGGCAAGGAGGAAATTGTGCCTCTTTTCCCTCTTCAGAGAAAATAACTTAATTAAAAGCATAGCTGCCTGACACTGGATAGATGACAGCATAATCACAGTGAATTATTTCAATAAATGCCATGAAATGCAACACACAATGAAGGACTGCCATTGGTGCTTTGTCCTAACAGTCATTCCAGATCTAATGCTATAAAACCACATGAGTTTTTAACACTCTTTCCCAGAACTCCGAACCAGGAAAAATGACCCAAATAAATGGTTGAGATCAAGAGCCACCTTGATTTAAAACAATCTGTTTCTAAACTTGAATTCAATAATAAAGAGTAGCGGTTCCCATTTTCTAGGATTATCCCAAGAGATTAAAGTGACTGGTCTTTCATCAAAGTGTACCAGGTGATAGGCACACTTTGATAATAGATGCCAATACAGTGTCTGGTTCAGTAATGGGGCTCAGTGTCTTAAGATCTGGGATTCAGATAAGGTTGCTTAAGATCTAGAGATTAGGGGGGCACCCGTCTGGCTCAGTCGGAAGAGCATGTGACTCTTGACCTCAGGGTTGTGATTTGAGCCCCACACAGAGATTATTAAAACATAAATAAACTTTAGAGATCAGCAAGCCCTGAAACTGCCAAGTACACCCACTCCCTTGCTCAGCTCCGAAATCAAAGGTTCTTACAAATAATCCGTAGTCCTTCATTCTTCAATACTCAACAACCTGTGGAGAAACAAGTGCGTTGGAGACTTCATCCTTATGGGAAGCAGAGCTTATGGTAACTCATGCTAAACACCGGTTCTCTAGAAGAGAGATGCTTGTGTGACCAGGTGTTTTTGAAACTCTTTTTCCCAGGCACAGTTAGCCTCCCTGTATTGCTGAGATGGAGATTTTTCTTAAAGGTGGTTATATAACATCACATGAGAAATACTCATTTTCACCAAAAAAAAAAAAAAAAAAATTCACCTTTATATCTCTTACCCATAGCATTTGGCACAATGTTCTGCAATCTATTGTGCTCTCACTAAAGATGAACCTACAACAGAGGAAACCAAAACCTTAGGTCTTAAAAGGGATAGGAACGGATATTCCCAAGGAATCCCTGGATCAACTGTGACCTTTTTTGTGCTCTATTACAGTAAGTTCTTACTCAGAAGGCCTTTTTTTTTTTTTAACATGCAAGATGATAAAATAGACCCGCACCATATCACTTGGATTAGGAAAAGAGCTACTCACCCTGGACCTCTGTAATGGAACTCATTTACCTCTGCAAAAAGTAGAGGGCTTTAGCCATTGTGAAAGACGGGACACTGTTCCTGCAGGTAGGACAAGATCTTTCACCAAATATTCTCTACCCTGTAGTCAGACCACAGGTGCCAATATTTGGCTCGGAAAGCAGGAACCAAGTACTGAGGGTTAAATGCCGGAAAACTTTAAAGCAGTAAGTGGGACTCTGGCTTATCTTCACTCTCCAGTTACTGTTCTAAACTGTCTAGACTGAGTTCCTCTCCAGCGCTTCAACCCCAGAAATTCCATTAGAGGGCTCCCAAAGAGGAGACCTGTCATGTGGGAACAAGCCATTTCCTCCCCTATGACTTCTCTTCTCCTCTCTTGGGATCAGTTCCTGTTGGAGAAAGCCCTTCTCTTTGAAAAATGAAAGATGAAACCTCTGGAAAATAGCTTCATCCTATTTGCAGATCCTAGACACAATTACCTTGAGGGAAATAAGGCACCTAGAATAGGACCCCAGATGGCCTATGTAGGAACGCAACTGATAGGAGATCCTGTGGGGCTGCAAAGGAGCAGGGCTTCCAAACATGAGCACTACTTTCCTGCCACAGGCTGGGCTGCATGGTAGGGTGCTGCTGTGATGGTCAGACAGGCACAGTGGAGGCTCTGAAGAACTCAAAGAAATACAGATAAAAGTCTTCCTTAAAATAGAAAGTTACACTATCAAGCGGGTCTCTGGCCAACACCACCATTCTTCCAAGTAATGTCTTCAGAGTCAAGAGAGGAAGTATGGAAGAGCACTAGGGGAGTAGTGAGGGGACCAGGTTCCAGTCCTAACTCTGTTAACTAGCTGGTCACATGACCTTGGGCACACCACTTGACCTTCCCCTCCGCACCCCCACCCCGAAGTCATCATCTATAAAATGGGGATAAAACCACTTGCCTTGTCTACCTCTCGTCATGACGTGAGGACCAAATGAGATAACATGAAAGTGCTTTGTAAACTGTGGGACACTGTATGTAAAGTAACAGTATATACTTATTACATTTTAATTAGGTCCTTATCATTGCCTATTTGACTAGAAGTGCCCCATGCAGAATGTGCTTTGCAATAGACAGACTCAAAAATAGGTGCTATAAATATACACTGGCCTTTTCCACTAGGGTTTTTAAAAAATAAAGGGAAATTCTTAATTTCCTCAGAAATGGCCTCAGAATACATTACTTAAAAATGTGAGGTCATCCAAACCTACCAAGTGATAGAATTAATTTTCTCCAAATATGTCGTGTACAATTAGGTCTGGTCTGTTGATACCTTTCTTTATACAGAGAAGTCTTAAATTCAAGAAACAGCATGCTAAAACTTAAAGAAAACATAATTACAGTTTGTTGTAAAGGAAATAAAATGAAAATAAGAGGCATCCTATATAATGAAATTAGGTTCCAGTTCCTCAAATGGTTGCCTTTTTCCTGAGATATCTCCAGGACAGGGTCCTAGTCCTGTGAAGTGCTTTAGAGAAGCTTAGTCTTGCACAAGGTGAAAAGGACATGTAGGTTGGAAATTAGGCTGTGCTCATTTTCAGCACTAGGATTTGAACAAGGTCTGCTAGGAGCTGCCAAACAGCTTTGGTGGAGAAGCCCATATGGCCCAAAAGAGGCTTGCTAGTTCTCAGATGCCAGGCCAGAGTATGGAGAGCAGTTTAACGCAGCCATCCAGTTCAGGGATTTTCAATTCTTCCTGTAAGGTGGTTCTGCTCTTCTCCGCTCTAGCAAATAATTGAACAGAAGAAAAACAGTAAGATGTAGAGCAACATTATCTACCAGACTTTAGGGCCTTTTTCTGCCCAGCTGCAAGTTTACATGCAGAACAGAGACCCAGGCAAGACATGAATGGGAATGACTCTGACCAGCCCAAAGCACCCAGATTCCAGCGTCTGTGTGAGACAGCCTTTATTACAAATGTTACAAATGATGAGTTGGAGGGAGTCCTGTCAGTGCAATCACTAGTTAACAGGATGGTCGTCCTTTGGGGCCACAGGCGTGTTGCTAACCTCCGCTTTTCTTCCTGATTTGCTTTGCTTTCCGGGGTTTGAGGATGGTATAGTTTGCATATGCTGTATACTGATCTGACAGGAAGGGGACATAGAATGCCCGCAGCAACCTTGAAGATCTGAAAAACAAAGAAAAAAGAAAAAGACAAGACAGAATTTTATCACTGGAGGGAATTTACTAACAGTGTTGAAAATGAGGAAAGGAAGTTACCTAAGTGTGGTGGCGAGGATCATATTCTATGTATGTAGCACAGAAAAATGTGTCCTTTAACTACTAGATCAAGAAAACAGATTTAATCAGACCAAGTCCCTTGTTACCAACACCGAAAAGATGGTGTCCCTCGTAAGCCACAGTGTTTCCTTCAGAATAGCTCTAGACCTTCACTTTGCATAGAATATGCCATAGAAAACTTCCAGGTCAATCAAACCACTGCTATTACTGGAATAAATTCTTAACACCCAGGTGGTTTCTGTATCTAAGAGCCTGTAGAGATACCACACGCTCCAATGATCCTGATGCCAGTTCTAAGTTCCCTAGGACAGGCAAAGAAAACTATGTGCTGGGCTTCCTGCGCAGTGCTCTGGCAATGCCTAAATCAGAGAAAGAGAGAGTATACACAAGCTCATGTCCCTGGCGGGTGATAATATACCCACTTGTTACTAAAATACACAAACAGCGGAAAACCTGAATTTCTCATGACTTTCTGAAGAATGTGAAAAATGCCTCACAGGTATTAAGCACTCGGTATTGGACAAGCACTGGAAAAAGTGCTCACACTTTTAAAGATATTATTTAATTCACCCAATAACCCCATGAGCAAAGTGCTGTTATGATCCCTACTTTATAGATGGGCAACCGAGGCTGACGCAGACAAAGTAACTTGCTCAAGGCCACACAGTAAAGCAATAGCGCCTCATTCAAATCCAGATTTGATTCCAGGTTCTGCACTGGGTCACCTGCACTCTTGATCTGCACTATGGTTTATCCTGCATCCCAGACACCAGCTAACCAAATTCATCACTTCCTAGAAAATGTGGCAGCGAGAGTCTGGAATTCTGTATGAAGTCTTATTCCTTGACTATGCTTTCTGAGTCTGAAAATCCAAAGTTGGCCCAGTTACTGCCACCCTAAGTGAGGGAGCTGAAGAGTGTTCTGCTGCCAGTCCTCTTCCAGACTCTAAACTTGTAAATGTCATGTCAACGTGGCATTTGTACTGGCAGCTTCCCCCTGGCTTTGGCAGGCTCCCGCAGTGCCTGCACACAATGATACCATGCTTGGCATACACACCTCTTAGATTCTCCCCAAATGGGACTCTGGCAGTGCTCTGTGCTCAACAGAGATGCACTTTACTTCAACAGCTAACAGCTCGAGGGCTTTGATAGAAAAGCGGCTTAGAAGAGACACACGAGATAAAGCAGGCCTGCTAACAAAATGAACAGGAGGAGGAAGCACCCACCTCAGTCAAAAAGAAGTTAGTTTATCCTTTCTGTCCACGCTGCACAGAGAAGGGGAAGGTCAGAACAGAAAATGCTAAGCCACAGCAAACTCCTGCAAGCCTCAGTGGAGTAAAGAGAGGCTAAGACTAATTAAGTGTCATTTCCATTCCAGTGGACTCTGCGATCAAAACCTCACTAACATGGTCACCTCAGCCCTTCAGGCAGCTCCAGTAGAATATTAGGTCTGCTGGGCCCAATCTGAGTTTTTCACTTTCTTTTTTTGAACAATTCCTTACTATTTGGGAAGACTGTTATTTCATAATTTTATTTGTTTTAGAGTCTTCCTAAGAACAAAGAGAAATTCTACTTATTTTTTAAAATAGAATAAAACTCATTCTATCTTGTAATTACCACATGGATCCACTGCCACCTTTTATAAATTTAAGTTATATTATGGGACCTTAGTGGCTTTATTTTTTTCCTGTATCTCGGATTAATTACAACTATATTTTTTTAAAAAACTAAAATAAGACAAAGGAAAATGATGAAATCACCAAAAAAGATGATGCAAAAGTAATCACTATTGTATTATATCTGCAATTTTCTAATTGCATTGCCCAAATTATTGTATCATCTTCCAATAAGGTATAAAAGACCTGAGACACTATCTTTGCAGTCGGCTTTTAGCTTTCATTGAACACGGTTGAGAATCCAGGATTTTTAAATTTTCTGCCCATAATGACAATGAGAAGAAAATGAACAGAGAGAGAGATTTCACAATTATTAGATGAGAAGATGAGTGTACAGAGACAAAGAGCAGCACCCCTAGCAAGGATGGTAACACTGATCCTAAGTAAAAGTTCAGACTAGGAGTCTTGCTTGAGAGGACTGTATGCTCTACAGTATATATGGATGAATCTTCTCAAACTCAAGAATTGATGAGTGAGCAATGTATTTCTCAGAACAAAAAGAAAATAAGGTATTTTGATTCAGTCAGTCATTCCACAGGGAGGACTTCATCATTCAATGTTTTGCAGCAAGAACCTACACCATCCTGTTACACTTAAAAAGGGCATATGACCGGGCGCCTGGGTGGCTCAGTTGGTTAACCGACTGCCTTCGGCTCAGGTCATGATCCTGGAGTCCCGGGATCGAGTCCCGCATCGGGCTCCCTGCTCAGCAGGGAGACTGCTTCTCCCTCTGACCCTCTCCCCTCTCATGTACTCTGTCTCTCATTCTCGCTCTCTCAAATAAATAAATCTTTAAAAAAAAAAAAAAAAGGGCATATGACCATATTCTTTCATCTTTTATGATGTCTGTGGGCCAAATTTTATTTGATACAGTTCATAAGTGGATAAATGCTGAAGGCAGGTTAGCCATACAAAGGTGACTAGAAACTTATATATGGGAAAGAAATTTAAAAATTCAATGGATCTACCATTTTAGTTGGTATCAAAGAATGAAAATGTCTGAATTGTGGGGCCAAGAAGATAGTTATAGTCTCTTCAACAAAATTATGAGCCATTAAAGGTTTCAGAAAATTCTAGTTTTTCATTTTGATGATGCAAGTGCTAGAACAACCAGAAGTGGTAAGCTAGAACCTACTGGAGATATATTTAAAGTTTGGAACCAGTATTTTCAAGATGGATATATTCCAGGTCCATGCATGATAACTGCATTCAGAGGTGTCCATTTCAGGTGTCTATGTATCCATGTATATCTGTTCCAAACCAGGAGAATATGGAAGATTCAGGTTTACTACACTTAATTAATAAGATTTCAAATGAAGGTTTTTGTTTTTGTTTTACTATCCTCTTATTTTTATAATTTATAAAATAACTACAAAATGTAAAAAAACGAAGTGTCTATTGGGCAAGATAGTAAATGGTAATGGACTATTTTTCTTGCTATGCTGATAGATCATGCCCAGAAAATCCAGAAGAGATCTTGGGCCATACAGGGGACATCATCAAAATACCAATTGCCCTGGGCGCCTGGGTGGCTCAGTCGGTGAAGCGACTGCCTTCGGCTCAGGTCATGATCCCGGAGTCCCGGGATCGAGTCCCGCATCGGGCTCCCTGCTCAGCGGGGAGTCTGCTTCTCCCTCTGACCCTCTTCCCTCTCGTGCTCTCTATCTCTCATTCTCTCTCTCTCTCAAATAAATAAATAAAATTAAAAAAAAAAATACCAATTGCCCTGAAATGGAAGAAGGGCCACTATGCATTACTGTTGAAGGCAAAGGTGGGCTGAGACAAAGGTAAAAAGAAAAAGGAGACTGGGACAAAATACGTGCAGTACATAGGAAAGGATTAGTAGCGAGAACATACGAATTATTCCTGTAATCAAGAAGACAAATGACTCTGTAGGGAAAAATGACAAAGAACATGAACAGAGAAAAGAAACATAAATGGCCAATACGAGTGATCTAGTCGAGAGATATGGAATGTCAACGATACATAACGACGATGCGGCATCCACTAAATACTAAAAGCTGATACCAAAGTTCAAAGTGATAATATTCCCATTAAGAAGAGAGGACAAACACTGAGGGTTGCACAGGTGTAGAAAAAGTGTTTACTGTATCTCATTTCATTTTCTCCAACATTCCAAGATACACTCAACAGAAAGGCAACATGCAACATAACCAAATCTACAGGATCTTGGGTTAAATGCTCTGTCCACTCAGCACCAGCCAGAAAAATGGCTTAAATAAAATCCAAACTCTTTCTCATGGTCTACAAAGCCCTAGCAGATCTGGCCCTCACTTCCTTGTCCCGCCTCCCCTTGCTCACTGTCCTCCGGTCCGCTCCACTCCCCCCGCACCCCCCTCCTCCCAGTGCTTCCCTCCCTATAGCCTCTGCATGCTTTCCCTCCTGTCCCTGGAACACGCTTCCACCCTGTTTTTCTCATAACTGAGTCTGACTCATCTTAGAGGCCACCTTGGAGAGGTCTTGTGACACCCCAGGAAAGCCCAGGTTTCCATTTCTAACACAGTTAATCTCTCTCAGGGCACCTTGTATGTCTCTTACACTCTGCACAATTTACCTTTATTTGTTGGTTAACTTGTTTATTGTCTGTCCCCCACACCCCGCCCCCAGATATCTGGGACCAAGTCTGTTTTATTTACCAACAGCACAGTGTCTGGCACATAGTACATTCTGAAAACAGACGGTGGATGGATGGATGGATGACTGGAAGGCAGGGAGGGAGCAAAGGTGAACGAAGGATGCTGAAGAGAGTGAGGCAGGGGTTCTATACGAATGATATCTGAGTTTAACTCAATTCAGTTCTTCCACCAGGGACTGAGCACCGTATCAAGCAATGGTTTAAGTGCCAGAAAAACAGTGGTGGACGGAAGATTCCTACTCTCAAAGGGGAATTCGAAGTCCCACTGATGGGTGGTTTGTAATAACCATCTTGCTAAGGACAAGCATAAGTCTGACTGGGATACATCAAGAGATCCATGAAGCATCCTGTCATGCTTCCTCAGGACACAATCACAAGAAATTCAGCACCAAATTCTATTATTATGTGTTCAGCAAGCAATCAGTCATTTCTAGTTAAGCCTGAACACAAAACTATATAAAAGGTGGGGACTCTATATAAGGAGAAGCTAAGAAGAATTTATTTATCATCAGAGCTTGGTATTGGGAAAAAACCTTATTAGAAGGTGAATCTCCTT